GTCCGTTGTTTTAATAATGACCGTGATTAGATTAGAGCATCATAGAGCCGTTTTAAAAGATTAGGAGCGGCTCCTAACGAGGTTTGATGGCACCAGGTAAGAGACTCTTAATCGAATTTCTTAATTTTACGGGGCACCTTAAAAGTTTGCCAAGCCTCGGCGGTAATTTTCGGATATGAGATTTCCACGTTGGAGTAGGGCGTCAGAGCCATTGCCATTAGTTAAAATGTAATTATCATTCAGAAGGACGCTTTTAAGTTGATTAACTTTGTATCCTTAAAATTGTATACTCGTAATGTATAACCGCCATTTCTATACTTGCACAGCCAATACGCTACGTTGTGAATGTACCATCCTTTTGTGGATTCACAGAAAAGATGCCATAACTAGCTTCCGGTAGCTCAGATGGAGGCAGGAGGCCTAAAGACAAACGTTGACAAAGTCATGGCGAGAGGAGAGAAGAACAGAATAGAACATGTTAAAGTTTTACAAATTTTATTACAACTACAGGTCTATAGCTCTGCTTTGTTATAAGTAATGTGGTGGTGAGGTGCATAAGTCGCGAGCTTCTGGAGTACCTCGAACGCCAGGAAGTATGATTTCCTTTCCACAGGGGAACTCGTCCAGTCTTATGGTGAGGCTCATGTCGTTGTTCTTAATATCACGAAAGCGTTTGATCAGCGTGGCATGCTTCCCTATTATGCCATCCTATGGCCTACCAGAGAAGCATTGCAGATGGGTGGCTAACTTTCTCTATGGCCGCAAGATATCCGTCGTAATTTACGGGTTCTCCTCTCCATCCCACAACGTCAGCGCGGGTGTTCCCCAAGGATCGATCTCGACTTCGACACTGTTCCTCTCACATATTAACGACCTCCTTTCATGTACGATCGTTTCAATCCACAGCTTTGCTGATGACCGCACTCTATATGCAGGAATTCAGAGTGACAAGCCGATGTCAGCCAGTGAGCTAAAGAATAGAAAACTAGCAGCGACTTCCTCTCTGACGAGACACCTGGGACGCAACATCTTGTACAGTTTAATGCTTCCAAAACAAAGCTGTCCGACTGATCGATGATTTTCTGATGAAGAATCTTGAGACCCTTTCGCACCGGCGAGCCGTCGGCGATCTAGCTCTCTTCTACCACCACGCCATTGGGCTTTGCTGCTCAGAGGTCTCCTCCATGATGCTGCGGAACTTTGGATCCAGGAATCTGGTTTCAGCAGGCCTTTTTGTAACCCAGTCACCTGTGATCTTACTTTTGGATTGTAAGTGACCTTCTACCCAGATGTTGGTGAAAACGCTCTCAATGACAAATCCTCTTCCCGTTGTAGTTCTTGAGGTAGTATTGTCCTTTTGCTGTCCCTACATAATGTTTATGCTTTTGCTCGTAACGCTACTGTGAACAATCTCTTTTGGAGGTAGGGCTTTGCCAGATAATTCAAACTACGTCACTCTGGCATGTTTATCGATGGACTATTTGCAGTTGAGGAAGCTTTAAGAGCCAATCCCCACCACTTTTCTTAGATCGGCCTATTTAACAAAGATGGGTTTGGAAGGCGCTCTCAGTGTTAGCCTCCAGAAGCAACTATATACAACAGGCGATTTGTAGCTGTTTCATATCCTATATTTAGTTTTATTTGGAGCGTAGCACTTTTAAAAGAGCCACTTTTTTCACATACGTTTCTAACGACAACAAGTGCAGCATCATCACTTCCTTTTCTCCTTAATGTTGTTCGTAGTGGTATCACCAGTTATGGTGGGGTATGCATTTTGATCTCTGTAGGGCATGTTTCTATTTCAGTATCGTAATTTTAATACAATTTATTGGATATAGATACCGCATCATATTATTTAACAAATTATAACTAGACGAAAGGTGTTCCAGTGCAGCGGTAGTTTAGGAGATAACGGTAGATAACACAGCGTTATCTGTGTGTCCCTATTGGTTAGCCGATAGCTGTCATTCGTCACTGACTAATGGTTCATGGCCGTCAGCATAATAAGAGTCTCCGCATTTTACCGTTGCGCAAATAGCATCTGCAAACACTAGTTAATTGCAATAATTACACGTAAATTATGATATCTGTTCTGTTTGTCAGTTATTTTGAAATATATCCCAGAAAACGGATGCCCTTGGACAGGGCCGCACTAAGGTGGAGGTTGAAATCAGCTGCCATATCTAGAAGTTACCAACAAGTCAACTTTGTTCATTCATCAAGAAGCTGGACTACCTAGTAGTTAGGTAAAGTTTTTCACTGTCAACCAACCAACAACCTACGTACAAAATTCAGATAATATCTAGCTTAGAACACTGCTCTCATGTCTTAGAAGTTTGTGCTCCAACTACATTGTCCATACTAGATGGGATTCTGGGATCGACGATACTTCCCTAATTAAAAATCTCATTCCATCCCTGTCTACTGATGGAGCAAGTTAGTTTAATATTTAAAGTAGACGTGCTTTAGACGTCTAGAACCTTCTTTATTGCTCCACCATTTAGTTAATGCAACACCTGAAATTTTTGGTTTCCCTGTTCCATGACTGTATGGCCCCGCTAATCGAAATAACATTTTCACTGATATTTCTGCTGAACCTAAGCTTCTTTTTTTCATTTAGTGGCCAGACAATCATGCAGTCTATTATTAAGCATTTAACTTATAACCACTGACAAGGCTATTAAGTGAGAACTGAGAATCTTTGAAGTTCCAACACATAGCTGCTATGCACTCTCCGCAGTGATAGATTTTGGTAACAGATGGAGCTTTGCGCTGTCTTGTTTCGATATACCGTATCTCCTGGATAGAGGATAGTTGCGATTATTTCGTTGTCCCAGAGATGAGAGACCAAGCCTCTACCATGCTGATGGGTTTACTAGACTGATACACAGTTGAAAATATGAATATGATTTCAGTTTGTGTATAGAACAAGTGTAATGTATAATATTAGACAGCACTCCGTTTTTTCAAGCCTCATCATTTAAGTTTCATAAAACAGAATCCGAAGACATGATATTGACCAATAATGAGTACTGGAACAAATTTACAAACCAGTTATTTGCAACAAGAAATTTCTGACTATCAGACATAATCGTCCATCACTCATAGCAACAAACCAGTGATTTGATTTTCATTAGTTACGAGCTCAACTGAATTGGTCTGATTAATATACTAAGTGACATATAAATCCGAACACCCAGTTTAAATGGTTTTATTTTAATAAAATTTTGTATAAGTACTTAATGAAGCATAATAAGTAAATGATAAAAATTTCAAAATGATTGCACTGCTTTAAAGCCCTTTGACCTTTAATAATGTGTGGATGCACCCTGATGTGCTACGCATTCTCCAACGCGCCTAGGCATGCTTCTGATCAGGTGGTCAATATCCTCCTATGGTATCTCATTCCAGGCAACCACCAACTCCTCTCGAAGTGCTTCTAGAGTCTGAGGAGGACGTTGCAAATTGAGCAATCTCCTACCCATCATATCCCACACGTGCTCAATTGGGGATAAGTCGGGAGATCTTGGTGGCCATGGTAACAATGTGACATCATTATGTTGAAAGAAGTCTCTGGTAACTCTTGCAACATGTGATCGGGCATTATCTTGTTGGAAAGTTGGATCTGCCAGGGTGTCAAGATAGGGTAAAAGATTGGGTTCTAGAACTTCGTGGATATAACGCTGCGCGTTCATGTTACCTCTGATGAAGATTAAAGGTGACCTGGAACCATAAGCTATAGCACCCCAAACCATAACTCCAACAGTGTGATGAACATGTCTTTCAACAAAAAACTGTGGATTCCTCCTTTCACCACGTCGCCTTCTAACCCTGGCACGACCATCGTGCATGCCTAAACAAAATCGAGACTTGTCAACTAAAGACAATACTGTTCCATTACTGATCCCAGAGTGACCGTTGTCTGCACCACTCAAGGCGATTACGTCGGTGTTCTCGAGTTAAAGGGAGGACCCAGTGTGGCCGGTATGAAAACAAGCCAAAACTTCTCATTCGTCGGTAAACACTTCGCATGCCAATAGGTCTTCGGTGTTCTGCAAACCATTCATTTGCAATGGACCTGATAGTGGAGAAACGGTCCCTTAAGGCCAATAATCTTAGGCGGCGATCTTCACGGTCTGTTGTTCTACGGCTTCGTCCAGTGCCCCTTGCTCTTTGCGTACGGCCTTCTCGAAGCCATGCCTGACAACACCTAACCACAGTGTCTACACTTCTTTGCACTCTAACTGCAATTGCCCGAAAAGAAAGTCCAGCTTCCCGAAGTCCCACTATACGGCCCCTATCAAACTCACTAAGTTGACGAAATCGTACAGGTCTCCGTACTCTAGGCATGGTAACCGATCGTAAAGGATGTTAAGAACCAAAATCCGCCAACGTTTATTCTTTACTGCGGCTGAAATATTCATTTTTAGAGCGTTAGTGAATTAAAAAAAAGCAGTATAAAAACCGGAATGTCCAACTGATAAGGCTGAAAAATTTTTCACTTGTTATTTACAGTAAGATAAATACATTCACCAAATTTTATTAAAATAAAACCATTTAAACTGGGTGTTCGGATTCATATGTCACTTAGTATATCTTACCAAACTTTCATGTACTATACGTATAAAGATAGTATCTATTTCATCTTCCTTCTATATTTAAAAAACAAATAATGTTATTCTAGCAAAAGTTCTACGACACTCACATCTTTATCAAATTATTTTACATCGACAATAATTATTATTGTGTAACCCGATCGACCCTGATTTTCATTCAACTGTTTTTTGCACCTCTATTTTGCTTCATATTCCGCAGTTCACTGTGTTAAAAGTGTGAGCGTAGATACACGTTTCGTTTGATCGTGCATCCTGAGCTAAATAAATCCTCATTTTGTGTTCTAAGTCGGTGTGTGCAATAATTGAATGGCCTTCGGTATTCAAATTTAGAGACTACCAACGTATTGGTCCAGAATCAAACTAGGGGGAAGCCAAGAACCAGCCAAGGATACCTAAGAGGTAATATGAGATACCATGCGAAACGTTTTCAATTGCACTACCATCACGCAAACTTTTGATTGAATCTTTTTCGTCCAAATTCTTTTTCACTGCAAGAAAAACAAAAACAGACGAATACCTTGCTTTATCTGGTCGCTAGTTCGTTGCGTTTATAGACCAAAGTCAAGAGACGCTTTCGGGATGTTGACTTGACGATTTATTCGTGTTTTGGATAGTTTTTTTCAAAATGGATATATTCATGTAAAGTATGAAACCTATTTACTTCAGCGTAGTTTTTTATTGTGCTGCAGCTTTAGTCCGTATTACCTATTCATTGCTATGCACTCAAAAATACGGACCACAGCATCAAGACAATTTAGTATTCTTGATTATAACAGTTTTTACATCCTCAGCTCAAACTATGGAATCTAATCTAACAAAATTCCTCTAATCATAGACAGATAATTCATATAAACGTAGTCACCCACATAAATTACTGGTGATTCCATCTGCGTACATCGACTTGATATATTTGACTGGTTGAGATTTCCGGGAATGGCCTTCAGGCGGCGGCCCTTGTCTAGCATTGCCACGTCTGACGGAGTTTCACTAAATCTAGTGAATTTTGTGTTAGTATAAAGATGCGATTCCACCAGTGTGCTGCACTGTGCGGCACTCTAATGCACAGTGTACAGCACAAATGTTTCTTCTAGTCGACTCACTCGCGCAAACAATAGCAAATGGTGCGCAAACATTTCGGAAACGTTCGCGAACATCAGTTACTTTTGTGCGCGCGTACATGCAAGCAGTGGACTCACGTCGGCGGATACATACTTGTTGTTCGCGAACTCAGTATTGCTTCCGCTCCTGGACTGAAAACATATTTGTTTGTACGCGCACTTCTTTTACGAAATTTAAAATGGACTGGACGAATGATAGGATTATAAAATTTATTCAAGCAATTGAAACTTATCCTCTTCTATGGGATTCCAGTCACCATGATTATAAAAACAGAAAAAAAACACGACGCCACTCAAGATTTGGCTCAAAGTTTCAATTGTGACTCGACTGAGGTAATGAGAAAATGGAAGATTATTTTCCCTCAGTACCAAAGAGAAAAGAAGAAAATGGCGGATTCAAAATCTTCAGGTTCTGGTTTTTCAGATATATTATTTGTTATTTTATATTGTTTCAAGATGTAATGTTACTTTCTTTTGCAGTCGTGCTAACACAAATTTGATTTTGAAATCACCTGAAAGGGTTATGTGTTTGAATTATAATAGTATTTGTGAGTTTTGTGACATATTTTTATGTTCTATTTCGGAGCTAAATTGTGTTCTGCGGGAGCGCCTTAGATAGTTTTATAAGTTAGGCTTTTGTAATATTTCTAATTTAAGATTGTGGCCTATAAATGGAATATTATCTGTTGGGCAATAAAAGCTATAAATAAGCCTTATTGGAACAGGGACACATTTTCTGTAGTTGGTGTCTTGCTTTGCAATATGAGGACCAAGTGCATTGATCAGCAACTCAAAACCTTCACATGATATACGAGTAAAATTTTTAAATTCACTTAAGGGATCTACTTTTATTTCTTCTATAAATCTATTCGTTTCTTCATTCCATCGCTGCAGAAAAGGCCTCACCCAACATCGTGGTTTTCTTCTTCGTTTCTGTTTAAGCAGACTACCTATTAAAACACAAGCTGCAGCACAAAACACTACGTATTCCCGCCCATCCATATTAAGAACTGAAGTTAGTGAGAACTTTGCTTGGTAAACATGTTCGTGCACAAGTGTGCTACACTGTACGCTTACAAAAGTTATGCACTGCTTTGCCGGTGGACACAGAAGATAAATTCGATACCAGTGAGTACATTCAATGCTGGAGTTTCACACAAAATGTTTGTAAACAAATGTGCTGAACACTATTTTGGTAGAATCGTACCATAATGGTTCAGTCGAAATGCTTACCAAAATGCTCATTTCTGGTGATGTTTTCTAGTGCTTTCAGAATTGGTGGAGGACATAACTGATTAAATTTGTTACACGAAGCGGCATAAGAAAAAATCCACCGATTGTCGAGCTAATCTATTTTATTTAAAATGTGGGTTTGTTGGTTTAATTTTTAAATATCTTGTATTTGCTAAATGCAAAACAAAAGTATACCGCTGTCCCGTTTTTTGCTAAATTATTCATTTTATTATCATATATTTAGTATTCGGCATTTTTTACAAATATGAAATATTGACTACTACGATGAAATAAATACCCTCAAATAAACCTCGATCGGGTGCTTTATTTTTATCTAAGATTGGGCGGCACGTATATTTTATGAATAGGTTTTCCGGGCGTAATACCTCTTACCGCCCGGCTTCTGTATGCTCTCGTATAATGGTTTGCTGCTTCGTTAATATTTTTGCTTGTGTTTCATACAGAGCTTTCAAATTAACTTTGAAGCATGCTCTCTTTAACTTGACATGACATGTCCTCATGCATCTAGAGAAATGTCTGTATTTGATTGTTGCTGCGGTTACCGGCACCTTGTAATACAGTACGTTCAAATATTTCATTTCTATGTCCAATAAAAGATTGATATAAATATTTGATTTACACTTTAGCTGGTCGAGAATTTTCTCGTATATTATAAGCGTTCCATGTCCCTTGCCTTATTAGTATCCGCGGAAGTTCTCACCGTGAACTCTAATTTCACGCCACGAACTGCAAACGATGACTTTACGCCCTATATACATAAATAACTATTATAGTTCACTTAATTGTATTTATTCCAAGATCTAACGATATACTAGTTAACTTTCGAGTCGCCTTCTAGTGTTTATCTTATTGCCGATTTGGCAACGCTGTGTGTTCAATTGTTTTAAACGGTCTTTTCGCAATCTTCATACAGGCTCTTTTCGGGAGCGCGATTTTTTCTATTTTTATAGGGAAAACTCCATTGTAACCGGTAAAATGTATAGGTGAGACGTGAACTTAGCGTATTTGAGTGGTTTAAGCATTCGGGAAGGGTGACCTGAACAGAATATACAGTGATAATCCAAGAAAACTGTCGGGCAATATAAATTCACCAACAACGGTCTTTTCGCGGGCGGGATTGTTGATTTTATAGAAAAATCTCCATTATAACCGACAAAGTGTATGTGTGAGATGTGAGTTCAGTGTGTGTAAGTGATTTCAACGTTTGAGAATGGAAATATAGACAGCAGTGACTTCAAAAAACTTTTGGATAGCTTAAACGGAAAATGGCGTCAATTTAAGGTAAGTTCGAATATATCATTGAAATTTGCTTGTGTGAAATATTTGTCTAATTTGAAGGAGTTCAGGTGGAAACATTGATAACATGTATAAAAACTAACGGTGAAAAATATCTGTCTCGCCCTAGGATACTCCATTACATAGTTTAAAAAAAATGTTTTTACGGGTAGCCAGGTCAGGACTCAGGATAGGGTGCGGGCTTTGTAAAATAGAAGTAAAAATGGTTCCAGAGGCATACCTTAAGAATGATATTTTTTGGGGGCCATGCTGACAACAAATAAGGGCGTGTTTTTCATTCATGACCATGAAGAACTGATTCCTGTTTGTGACGTCCAATTTCATCATACAGCGTGTGGCAAAAATACGACTCGATAACTCCTTGGGAATAAATCGACTTTGATTTTGACCTTGAAGGTTATTTGAAGGACAACTTTAAACTTTCAAATGTAAACCCAATGTAAACCCCTATTTTTGATTCCGGTAATTCAACAAGCGAACCTTGAATGATCCCCCAGATCAAACTACCGCTAATGCTGGATACCGATAACTCTACGAGAGTGCATTTTAGGGGCTTGGAATGCTTGAAATAAAAGTACTAGGATTTTTCCTCAGCTTCAGAAGGTCACATTGAATTTGATTTTGACCATGAACTTGGAGGTCATTTCAAGATCGACTTAAAAATTTTAGATGTTAACGCCTTATTTTTATCCCGCCAGTGAAAGAAATGACCTTGGTATCAAGTGTGGAATTACAGATCATAAGAATTTGGAAAACAATGATCTACCAACATCAAACTACCACGGTCATTCAAGGTCATATCTGAACGTACAATTTCATTGCCGGGATAAAAAATAGGGGTAAACATTTAAAATTTTGAAGTTGACCTAATGACATTCAAGGTCAAGTTCAATATCTAATCCAGGGTCACTTTTTGATAGCTAAGGAAAAATCCTACAACTTTTATTTAAAGCCTTTCCCTCTAAAATGTATTCCCGAAGAGTTATCGACATCCGGCATTAGTGGTAGTTTGACCATGAGGGATCACTCAAGGTCAAATATGAGCCTCGTTCAAGGTCATGTGTATACGTAACATTTTCCGCTCGTTTCATTAACGAAATCAAAAGTAGGGATTTACCTTTGATATTTTAAAGTTGACTTGCAAATAACCTTCAAGGTCAGAATCAAGGTCGAATCCAAGTCACCGACCGATAGTTGAGGTAAAGTTCTACAACTTTCATTTGAAGCATTTGCCTCTAAAACGTATTCCCAAGAGTAATCGAGCCGTTCCGGTACTCTTGCCACATCCTGATATCCCCATCATTCAGTCATCATCGTCATTGTTTCCTGAATCACCCTATATTTACCCACTTGAAATAGAAGAAAAATAATAAAGTTGTTTGTGTATTAAGAGCGCAAAGTGCTGTAGCTTTCTTGTCAGTCGCCAATTTCAGTAACCGCAGAACCGAATTCGATAAATTTTAATAATGAGATAATGTGAGACGATAGTGTGTACTTACAATATTTGAATTGTCCATTGATATATCGCAAAACATATATATATATATATATATATATATACAGTAGGGAATTCCGATTTATTCCCAGCCCTATCCTGGAAAATCGGCCGGACTCTGGGTTTGCCAGCAATGGTCGCCAATTTATGAATATTATGAAACGATACACGCGTAAAGTTTTATTTATTGGAATTCCTGTTTGACAAATATTGTAGAGAGCGTTCGAGCACTAGTGCGAGTGCCTGCCTACGTTTTTATTTATTACCTGCGTATGAATTACACGGAATTTACCAAAGCTGCCGCCGTCCTACAGGGTGAGGCATAAAGTAAATTATCTGCCATTATTTTGGAAACAAAATAAAAAATGAGCTCTATTATATACTAAGTGACATATAAATCCGAACACCCAGTTAAAATGGTTTTATTTTAATAAAATTTTGTATAAGTACTTAATGAAGCATAATAAGTAAATGATAAAAATTTCAAAATGATTGCACTGCTTTAAAGCCCTTTGACCTATAATGTGTGGATGCACCCTGATGTGCTACGCATTCTCCAACGCGCCTAGGCATGCTTCTGATCAGGTGGTCAATGTCCTCCTGTGGTATCTCATTCCAGGTAACCACCAACTCCTCTCGAAGTGCTTCTAGAGTCTGAAGAGGACGTTGCAAATTGAGCAATCTCCTATCCATCATATCCCACACGTGCTCAATTGGGGATAAGTCGGGAGATCTTGGTGGCCATGGTAACAATGTGACATCATTATGTTGAAAGAAGTCTATTGTGACTCTTGCAACATGTGGTCGGGCATTATCTTGTTGGAAAGTTGGATCTGCCACGGTGTCAAGATAGGGTAAAAGATGGGGTTCTAGAACTTCGTGGATATAACGCTGCGCGTTGATGTTACCTCTGATGAAGATTAAAGGTGACCTGGAATCATAAGCTATAGCACCCCAAACCATAACTCCAACAGTGTGATGAACATGTCTTTTAACAAAAAACTGTGGATTCCTCCTTTCACCACGTCGCCTTCTAACCCTGGCACGACCATCGTGCATGCCTAAACAAAATCGAGACTCGTCACTAAAGACAATACTGTTCCATTGCTGATCCCAGAGTGACCGTTGTCTGCACCACTCAAGGCGATTACGTCGGTGTTCTCGAGTTAAAGGGAGGACCCAGTGTGGCCGGTATGAAAACAAGCCAAAACTTCTCATTCGTCGGTAAACACTTCGCATGCCAATAGGTCTTCCGTGTTCTGCAACCATTCATTTGCAATGGACCTGGTAGTGGAGAAACGGTCCCTTAAGGCCAATAATCTTAGGCGGCGATCTTCACGGTCTGTTGTTCTACGGCGGCGTCCAGTGGCCCTTGCTCTTTGCGTTAGGCCTTCTCGAAGCCATGCCTGACAACACCTAACCACAGTGTCTACACTTCTTTGCACTCTAACTGCAATTGCCCGAAAAGAAAGTCCAGCTTCCCGAAGTCCCACTATACGGCCCCTATCAAACTCACTAAGTTGACGAAATCGTACAGGTCTCCGTACTCTAGGTATCGTAACCGATCGTAAAGGATGTCAAGAACCAAAATCCGCCAACGTTGATTCTTTACTGCGGCTGAAATATTCATTTTTAGAGCGTTAGTGAATTAAAAAAAAGCAGTATAAAAACCGGAATGTCCAACTGATAAGGCTGAAAATTTTTTCACTTGTTATTTACAGTAAGATAAATACATTCACCAACTTTTAATAAAATCTAACCATTTAAACTGGGTGTTCGGATTTATATGTCACTTAGTATACAAACAGTTTATTAATTATGTATTCAAGTCACAATAAGTAGACCAGATCTGACGGCGCGATATAAAGTACTTAAAAAAGGACCCCCTACATATTTTTTGAACAGGTTCACTACGCAAGCTGGCATTTGGTGTGACAAATATGACACATGAATACTATAATACTATGCCTAAAAGTAACGGTTGAGAAGTTGAATATGGTGGCCGGGCGCCATCTTGGAACATTTTTAAAGTGAATGGGGGCCGTGTGATATCTCATTTTGAATCCACTAATGAGTACTTATATACTGTCTGGAAATATAAATTCACTATCTATCAAAATAGCTTTTTGACAGATTGTCAAATTTGAGCGTGATTGTTCATTGAATTGCGTGAAATTATCGTTAAAATGCTGTGGCGTAAGTTGTATCAATCTTCTTCTCTTGGAAGGACGTAATCTATAGGCAATCTGTCAACTTCTTTCAACGGAATGTGCTGTTTGTATAGACCCTTCGAAAAGAAGGAGGTTGATATAACAAACATAGCGTTTCAATGTACAAAACGTTCAACTTTGGCGACCTGCCAGTCCACCATTTTGAAAGATAGTGAATTTATACTCTAAGATTATAAAGTAGGAATAGGGAACTTCAAAATGGGATTACTCACGACCTCGAATTCTGTTAAAATATTGTCCAAGGTCAACCTGGCGTTCAGCCGCTATTTTGAAATTTACAACTGTCTCTTTTACGCTGAAGTATAGTATTTCTGCCATTACGAAATTGAGTTTGACCCGTTCAAGAAACAAGACAATAAATATATTACCTCCTCTTCATATAACACCGCGTTCATTTCGTGAATAACATAAGTCAGTGAATGTAACATCTGCAACTTATCCTGTGGTTTGTCTTGCTGTCCAGTCTCCGTACTCTGCCG